ATCATCCCTTTATGGGTTATGATGTTGCATGCACACACACACACACACACACACACACAAACACACACACTTCAATCACAATATTTTCTTGCCCGATGGATTTATCAGGGAATGATCAAGAGGCTACATGCGATTTCATTTTGCTGATTTTGGACTTTCTCAGAAGTGAGGCTGATTCACTAGAGCCTTATGAATGCTGTGCTTCATAAAATTATTCAGAACTGGTTACAAGCAAATGTTTTGTTTTTATGAAATGAGCCAAGGGAGGGATTCCAAAATGAGAGGAAGATACTCCAACGACTGACACCCTGGAGATGCCTCCTTTAAGGAGACACTGGAAGATAAMATGACATCAGGCCACCAACAGAGTGGACTCTCGCAGACCAGTGCCCAAGATGGTAGAAACACCTGATCACATCATCTGAATTTCAGAAGCCTTCGTTCCCAACTGATGGCTTCCTATTTTCTAGATTAAAAAGTTGCTGTTTCTTTTCCTCAATGTGTATATCATTCCTAGGCCTTGGTGGAGGGAGGGAGTGGTGAATCTATTCAGTTATCTACAACCAGAGGCAGACTTTGACAGCTCCATGAGAGAGAAACCCAACTATGTAATTGGTGTGATAGACCAAATAATGACCCCACAGACGTCCACACCCTAACCCCATAGCCTGTGTGTGTCACCATGCCTGGAAAAGGTAATTCTCAAGAAGGAGTATGTTAAAGATTAAAAAATCTAATTTTACATTAAATCTATTTAGATGGCACATATTAATGGTATAATGTAATGTTTCCCTGCCTGTATACAGTGTGAGTGTTTACATCAGATTAAACATAACTATCTCCTCCAACATGCATTAGTTATTTGTGGTAAAAACTCTCAAAATCCTTTATAATTTAAAGAGACTTGGTGCTAGGATGGAGCCCGGGGCCTTGCACTTACCAGGCAAGAGCCCTCCCACTGAGCGGCCCCTAGCCCCTCAGAGCTGTTGGAAAGGCACAGTGCACTTTGTGGTCTAGTGGCCCTACTGTGCGATACACCACAGAGCTTCTTTCTCCTGACTGTAACTTAGTACTCACTGATGAAGCTTTTCCCACCCCCTCCTCCCCAGCCTCTGGGAACCACTGTTCTGCTCTTTGTTTCTATGGGATCAATGTTTGCATTTCACATATCAGTGGGATCATGCATGTTAAGCATCTTGAGATGAGAAAATCATCCTGGATTGTCCAGGTGAGCCTAAGGTTATCACCAGGGTCTTTAGGAGACTCAGATAAGGGTGGGGACACAGGATAATAAGCGGGAAGGAGGTGGGTGGGAGGGAGGGAGAGAGAATCCTGTAAGGTCAGTGGACAGGGAGGCATAATGGTGGAGTCCAGGAGACAGGGGAAGGATGGTCTGTGGACAGGAGGAGAGAAATCCTGCCAATACCAGGGAATGTGAGCTCTGGGAGCAGGGAGTGACCTTACCGTGCTGGGTCAGGAGGCACTGGACACAGCCTTGCTAGACAGAGTGTAGGTGTCGGGTTCAGCTGTCTGTTTCCTGATCCTCTTGAACCATTTCCTGTACTGCTCCCGGACCTGCAGAGGCAACCCACACTCTGGGTCAGCTCACAGACATTGGTGCAGGTGGGGAGGCATGGGTGGGAGCTGGGCAGGGGTACCTGTTGGCTGAGGAGGCAGTACACCAGGAAGATGAAGACGCCCTGCAGGCTGTTGGTGATGGTGAAGAGGTAGGCCATGATGGGGGCCAGGGAGCCCACCTGCAGGACACCCAGACACCAGGTGCAGCCCAAGATGAAGAGATGAGCCATTGCTTTAAATGTCAGCATCCTAGGTTGAGGGAGAATGGAGGCTTATAATGCACCCACAACAAAATCAGGCTATTCACCTCTCCACCCTTGGATGCACCTACTCTCCCCTGTAAGCGATTTCTTGGACTGATCTCTGATCTTTACTCTCAATGATACCCCACAATAGAAATGCCATTTGGGGTCCAGGAGAGCGATACTTCATAAGGTTAGTTCCCAAAAGTCATTTTCCATGAAGATCCCTAATTTCATTAACTAGTGTTACTGAGGATGCCCTGTGCTAGGGCTTGGACATAAATCACAAAGAGAGGCTGGGGGCAGGGGTGCACGCCTGTAGCCCCAGCTATTCAGGAGGCTGAGGAAGAGGGTCACACAGCCTCGGAAACATAGTGAGGCCCTATCTTAGAAAACAGAAGACAGAATTTCTGTTTTCATTTATCGTATGCTCTGTTCAAGTGTCTAATACAACTAAATAGCAATATGCAAAAATTTGAAAGGTTAATCAGAGGAACCCAGAAGAAAGAGCAAGAACTGTACACAAGATGCTGAGTGAAGGATCAACCCCGCCCCCTGGAGGACTGAACTGGAGTAGCATTTATCTACAGGGAGGAACAGTTAGTTATAGGGTGGGAAGGATTCTGAGCTGAGGGTGGGGCAAGAAAGTGCAGCCTGAGACGTGGGGACTGTCAGGAGAACAACAATGCTCTTGGTACTCTTGCTGTGGAAGAGATAAAAAAGATTCCAAGCATTGCTGATCAGCCAACGCCAATTCCTCCTGAGGCTAAGGAAGTCCCAAGCTGGGATCAGAGATGGAGGCATTTTGGGGGCATCTGCAGCAGAGCCCTGAGTCTGAGGTGGCAGACATAGAAGGGCAGCTGCATTCATTATTTCTGGGCCACCCAGAAGCCCTCAAGAAGGGACATGAGGGGCTGCCCAGGCACATGACTTTGCTCTTGGGCATCATCTACCTCTGTGGGGTTGTGTCCCCTGGTCCATCTCACCTCGTGTTCTGCAGGGTGGACACATCTCTGTTGATGGAGGACAGCTTGCTCTTCAAAATCCAGAGTGTCATCAGGAAGATAACCAAATTGACCTTCAAGAAACCACAGAGGAAAGACAGCAGCATGAATCTGACATAATTTTCCTGTGTACATATATGACCACATCACAGTGAATCCCACCATCATGCACATTCACGAGAATGGGCCCCTAACTAGATAAGGTATATTCCATGCTTGTGTAATTGTATCAGAATGGATTCTACCATCACATATAACTAAAAAGAACCCCCCAAAGAGAAACCACAGGAGGTTTATGAATATCTTCTTTTCTTTTTTGCAGTTCTGGGGCAGGAACCCAGACCCTAGTGCATGCCAGGCAAGCTCTCTACCCTTGAGCTACACCCAAATCCCCCACTGCAAAGTTTTATTGAAAAAAATTTAAATCTGTTCTCTATCCATTCTATCCCATGCAGCTTTTAGTATTTGACCATAGTGTTAGAATTTGTAGATGCAGAAGTCTTGGAAAAACCAACCCAACCCATAACAATCCAAGGATAGTCCTGTTCTCATCATCATCCTTACAATCCTGCTCTTCTAGTGACCCTCATGTGGACAGCAAGGAACTCTGATVACATCACTCACACAAGAGATGGCACAGGCAGGTCCAAGGAAGCCCCACACAAACCCCTGTTCTGGGTTGAGCCAGCAGCTGAGTAAGAGAGAGAACAACATCACTTTGCTGTGTTCATGTAGGAGTCCACAATCAGTGTCACTCCACACATGCACAACCACAAGGATGGGAAGCCAGACCCCTGTATGTGTGATATGTCACAGTGCACTCTACTGCCATGTATATCTAAAAAGAACAAATGAAAAATTAACAAAGAGAGAGAATAAGTGCAATGATCCTTGAAGACACAGAGCAGTTATTTTGATCTCTTCCTCCCTTTCCTCAACAGACATTGAGTGTCTGGGTGGTAGGCTTTCTGTCTGGCTCTGAAGATACCAAGAAAGTAAACAGGGTTGTATATCTCCCAAGTCTCACCTCCAGGAGGATACACACTGTAGACACATTGTAACAACAAAACAAAAATGGAAGGTTCTGAGGATGAGTCCTGGAGGCATATTAAGATTTGTTCTGTGGAATTAGGATGGTTAAGGAGAATTCCCCAAGGAAATCACATGTTCACGAGACATGAAGATGAGTGGTTATTATTGAGGTAGTGAGCTCTGGAGGAGGGCAGAGGACTGTGAACATTGTCACAGTGTTTGAGAGTCTTGTGAACCTGACATCGTTTTAAAGGCTTATCTTGCCCCATTCAATAGAGTTGCTTTTGTCTGCTGCTAAACTTACCCAATGACCACAATTCTTTCATGGATTTATGGACATGGAGTTCATGTACCATAAAATTCACTCATTGTTACATTGTCATGCGGTGCACACATCTCATCATTATGTACAACTATAAAGCACCAACAAAAATGCAGAAAAATGAACTGCACAGTTTCTGTTTGAACAAAATGGTGCTGTGTAGCCATCACCACAACCTAACTGTGGAACAGTCTCATAGCTCCTGAAAGAAACATGTGCACATCAGCACCCCTCCTCCCTCCTGCTCCTACCCCTTACCTTGCCCCCAGCCACAGGAATCTATTTTCTCTTAAAATTTTTCTTCTTCTTGGCATTTCACAAAATGGAATCATGAAATGTGTGATCTTTAATGACTACATTCTTTCACTTAGCATATTTCAAGGTTCACTCATAATGCAGCATTTTAAAAATGAAATTCGCCCATGAACATATTAATTGTCTGTATTAGAGGAGCCCAGCATGGTATTTCCACCCAGGACCATCGTGTGCTCTGATGCAACCCAACCTCCCTTTTCTGCTTTCCTTGCCACTGCCCTGCACCCTTTTGGATCTCTTGACTTCACTGTGTTCTACTTTCAGGTGGATTTATTTTTTAGCTTCCACAAATGTGAGACAATATGTGGTACTTGTCTTTCTGTGCCTGGCTCATTTTTATCCCTGTTGCTGCAAATCTTAAAAACTTTTTCTTATTTAAGGCTGAATAGTATTTCATTATACACACACACACACACACACACACACACACACACACACCACCTCTTCTTTCTCCATTCATCTCTGTGGGGCACTTGGGCTGATTCCGTGCCTCAGCTATTGTGGACAGTGCTGCAATAAACTTGAGTGTGTGGATACCTGCTAGTTTTGCCACCTTTGGGCACTTAACTAAATTGTCCTTCTATTTCCTCGTTGATGAAATCAGTCTAATGACAGCATCTACTAGTAAGTAGAGATGTGTGGATTATTTTAGTCAATACATATAAAAGTGGCTAGAGAATCACCTGGCATGAAATAAGCACCCTATAAATGTTACCTATGGCACTATGTTTCATTTTTGGTTTTGTAATTAAGTCATTTTTTTCTACATCATTAAAGTGTAAACCTGGTATAATGAAATCCCTAGGACTGACATGTGAGCTTAAGCAATTAAGACCTTTCATGGGAGAAGAAGATGAGGACTACTCTCCCTTTCTGATTGCATATCCTTCCTGTCACCGAGGTAACCACAATCACAAGTTTGGTGATTATCTTTGTCTATTAGTTTGATTATTTAAACAAACTCTAATTTCCCAAATGAGGATTGGGGCATTCTATAGTATTTGGTTAAAATGTAGGTTAAGTTGAAAATGAATTTTTTTTTTTATTTTTTTCTTTGCTATTTCTAGGAGAGAGATTTTGTTAATTAATTAATCCTTACTATAATTTTCCACAGGAAAGATGCCCTAGGGGTTACTAGTTAGTGTTGCTGTGCATCTTAAGCTCTGAAGTACTCAAAATGCTACTTTGGTTCAAGTGAAGGCTGTGGACATACTCGACAGGAGAAGGACAAGTGGGGTCCGCATTTACCGAGCAGGGGTGCCATACAGGTGAGGTCTGGCTGCTGCAGACACGGCCACGATGGCCGCTGGGACCCCGTAGCCCACAGGGAACATGAGCCTCCTCATGAGCCTGTTTCTGCTGGAGGAACTGAGCACTGTCAGGTTCCGTGCGGTGAGGAAGAGGAACAGCCCCTCCAGCAGCATCCAGGTGAAGGAGGCCAGGTAGAGGTAGTGCAGGGCGCCCGCAGTTACCGCGCACAGCACCTGGGGAGGAGAGAGACCCCAGGGCAGCGTCAGGGTCTGGGGTGGCCTGGGACGCCCCCTGGGCCCTGTGGCAGGGGATTCTGCTGTGCACCAGGAGCTGCACTGTGGTGCTTCAGCCATGGGCTGCGTGTGTGCTCCCATAGATCACAGCAGAACTGGAGAGGTCCTGCTGCCCAGTGACTTTACAGCCTCCCAGTGCTGCCCTTCAGTGTTTCTCATGCAGTAGTGGTGACGTCACAGTCCCCCAGCGGTGCCCTGCAGATATCCTCATGCAGTAATCGGGATGGTCTTGTGAACAAACCCGCTGTGCTGCTGGTTCCTGAACAGCAGGGTCACAAGGAGGGGCAGGACCTACTACTTACAAATGGCATCCAATGATCATGTGGCGGCTTATGCACTTACTACACTATTCTTTTCACATTATTTTAGAAGTGACTGTAGTCACAGTGTTTAGTATCTTCCCTCCAAATGGTGCTGATCCTGGGAACAGCTGAGGACACACATTGAATGACAGTATCAGTAGCTGAATATTCTCCCATCCCTGGGCTCTTAAGAGACAGAAGCTCATTAAGTAATTCCTTGAATCAAAGCAGAGAAGATAATCAACCCAGAAGGTGGGCAGACCTACANTAAGTAATTCCTTGAATCAAAGCAGAGAAGATAATCAACCCAGAAGGTGGGCAGACCTACAAGCAGCAGGAAAGAGCAAGGGAGCAAACCACACAGCTCACAGCACACCAACAACTGACTCTGTAGGCACGACAGCAGAGGAAATGTTGGAGAAGAATTTAGAAACTCCTAGTTACAATGTTGAATGAGCTAAAAGAAGATGTAAGGAATGAATTTGGAGAAGACACAGGAAGTGGAAGATCATTTCAATAAAGCCACATTCTAAAAATAAACTAATAGAAATTGTGATAATGACGGACTCTATTAACCAAATTAAAAATTCAGTAGAACCTCCCTTTTCTCTTGGTAAAAAGTGTCTGCTGTAAAACGTGGTGCTGTGTGACACCAGCCCAGTCGCCTACTTCTGACTCCTGATTGAATCAGGAGGCCACATCCAGTGATTGACGGATGCCATCTAGAGTTTGCATCAGTTCACCCTATGGGTCCCCTAAGGAAGGAATTTCCCAGGATGCAAGCCCTGTTGCTAAGCAACACGAGATGTAGGTTATGGGGTTGTAAAGAGGGTTTGTTTGCTCATTGAATCCCTCAACTTGAAATGGGCATCGACCTCCTAAGGACTTCCCCGGGGCCCAGGCTGTTTGATTAGGAGCTGGGCAGCCTGGCTCCTGAGTTCAGTTCACCCCTGGGCGGGCGGGGCCGGGACACCTGGGTACCTTGTGCTGGGTTCTGTCGATGGCCGTGAGGAAGAGCAGGTGGGCCAGCAGGAGGCAGAGCGAGAGCTGCAGGTGCAGGGAGGTGCTGGTGTTCTGGATGGCTCTGCACAGGAGGAAGGTGAGGGCCGCCAGGACCAGGCAGGGCAGCGACACTCCCAGCCCCACGCAGGTGATGACGTGCAGCACCGGGTCTTCCTCCTGGGGCAGAGGGAGGAGCTTTCACAGTCACGTGCCCTGCTCTGGGGTAGGAACCCCTCTGCTATCTGTCATTTGGTGCAGCAGATTCAGGAATGGAGGGACCTGGTCCATGTGTGAAGCTGATGGGGGAGGGGCTCCAGGTTCAGAAGGTTGGACTGTTAGGTTTTCTGAATGGAGCAGGTAAGCGGCTAGAAGGGCCCGGGATTCCTGACTTTGGGGCACAGTAAGGCACGTAAGTGATATGTAAGTGTGTGTGTGTGAAGCCCTTGCTGAGGGTCCCTCTGTCCCTGTCCCACGAGGCCACAGGACAGAACCTGTGCCTCAGTTTCTAGGCATTAACCTCCCATCCCAGACACCCTGGCCTCAGTGCAGCTCTGCCTGTTCCTTACTGGAGACAAGTCGCTGTGTAGACAGAATTAGATACTTGGTTAAAAATAAAGTTAATGATAACAGTAGCTTAAAGTTCACCTTTCCCCCACTTCTTTCTGAAAACCATCTTAAAGCCATAAGGACATTTAAAAGCCCACCATCAATTCTATTTCAATGTAATTGAGGGAAAGAGGAGAGAAGAGGAAAGAGGGAGGGGAAATATTCAAATAGTAAATAATGAAGGTAAAATTTCAAAGCAGGTGCATCTGGATCAAGTGCACACAGGTGTTGTTTGTGTGGATTTTTTTTTTTTTGCAACATATCTGTAAATTTGAAATGGTTTCCCAAGAAAATGTTTGAAAACAAAGTATAAACCATGCAGATGACATTTGTGATTGCTACATTTGAGACCCTGGTGCAAAGACAAAATTGGGAAATTAAGAGGCAAGACAGAGGAGGAGCAGAGGGAAAGAATGACACCTGATAAATGAAACAGGGGCAAAACTTTCAAAATAGATGCCTCTGAGTAAAGAGTAATGTGGTGGTGGGTTTTCTTTTCATTTCCTCCTGGTTTTAAGAGGACTTGGAGAAATAGGTGGGAAAGTGTAAATTTTAAGTTACCATCATCATTAACTTTCTTACTTTATCCAAGTATCTGATCTATTTCTTTTATTTTTGTTCTTGAAACATATCAAAAAATTGAAATTGTTTCCTAAGAAAGCACTTAAAAATAAACGGTCCTTCAAGTGATGTTAACATGTGCTAAATTTTGAGAACTTCTGATGTAAAGACAAAATCTAATTTCCGTAATATATAAAAAGCTCTTGGCTGAGATCTTTGTAATGCTCATGGTCACAGGGTGCTCACAGTAAATGCCCACAACGTGGGCTCACCTGAGAGTCTGAACCTGGGGAAGCAGAAGTGTCCACTCAGTTGGGTAGAGGAGGAGGTAAACAGCCCCCAGTCCAGCCATCCTCCTTGACTCCCCTGACCCCCTCTGACCTCCACCTTCCCCAGACCTTCCTTTTTGGTAAACCTGAAACCCGACCATGGTTGTCTTACAGACCCTGGTGGTAAGTAGAATTCTAACTTGGTCATCATATGTCCACCCACTGCTGTTACACAAACCTTCTTCTAATTCTTCAATTCTCTGATAAACTAGGTGCTGCTGTAGAGGGATTTTGCAGGTGGAATTTAGGGCTCCATCTGTTGACTTTTAGATTAGGGGGTTTATTCTCCTGATCTGGTGTGATCAGGTGATTGCTTTAAAGATCTGGACTCTTCCTGGGAAAACATTCAAAACTTGAGAGGGATTCTACACAAGGACATTTTAATGCTGGTTTTTAGATGGGAACACTGGTGTTTTGTGAGAAGGCCAACCAGGGGTCATCGGAGAGGAAATGTGGGTGGGTCTTAGGAACTGAGTGGGATCTCCCCTGACAGCTGCTAAGAGAAGGGAACTGGACTCTGCCTGCAACCAGGGAGCTGGAGGAGGGCTGCAAGACCCAGAAGAGACTGTGGCCCTGGCTGATGTGATCTTGTCAGTCTTTTAGAACCTGTACAAGGAACTCATCCCCCTGTGCTGGGTTGCTGACCCACAGAAACCG